GCCAGAGCTCGACGATACTCGGCTCCAGTCTGACGGTCGCGTTCTTCATCATCGAGCGCCCGCAAGGGTTTGTCCGCAGGCTCTTCCTTCTCTTTCAAAGCCCTGTTTTCCTCGATCATTCTAGAATATTGGGCGCTCAAAATTCCCGTGGTGCTGGTTGGGAAGCTTGGCGTGAGCATGCGACACGGGATTCCGTTCTTTGGAGGCTTTGCGTGAGCCACTGCGGTGCCGTTGGCATGAGTCTGCGCTGCTTCTAATTCTCTTGTCACTACAGTGTAGAACAAGTCCAGACCATTTAAAGAGGTCAGGGTCTGCAGTGCGCTCCGCACCTGAGGCAGCTCTAATGGGTCCACCGCGTTCGCTATTTCCCCTGCCGGTGCGCAGGCTCGACAAGCGCAGGTAGGATGTAAGCATGCGTCTCAGGGGAGCCATAAAAGCTTGTAGAAGATGTCGCGCGCGCGCTCTTCCTGCTTGTTCTCCACTCACACAGAATTTCAGCCATGCCGTTCCAAAGGTCCTCAAGGCGCGCGGCCCATTTGTCTCGTTTGCCCCACTTTTGGGTCGGTGTCGCACCGATGTACACGGTGTTTTCCACAAACGTGATCAAGTCCGTGACATTCACAGGACGAATGTCGGCAGGAGGCGTTGGAGGCGTAGCCTTGACAGACTCCACCAGCGCTTCTAAGCACGTATAGCATGAAGCAAAGCTACATGCGCAAGGGGGGCCCCAAGTCTTGAGATCTCGCCCATGCTTGACCGCCTGGTTGTATGCGCATAGGTGTTGGGCATGAGAGTGTGAGCGATTTGCAACGACCATGAACAACCCCTCTGGCTGGATGCGCGACCCAACTCACCAGATCGCACAACAAGTCAAAAGAGTCTTCGGTGCTGAGGCGAAGAACAATATCGCCAAGCTCCTCTTCGCACGCAAGCTCGAATTGGGCCTCGATCGTCTTCCGCATTCCATCCGCCTTGGAGGTCACCGCGATCTCATCTATGCCATGTCCATGCTCGATCATCGTCATCAGTCGATCCTTCAAAACGCGATCCTGCACATTCTGAACCATTCCGCGATACAGCGAAGGCACTGCTAGTTTGAAAGAGCAAGTGAAGAGCGTAGAGAGCAAAGAGCTTACTTTGCCCATCACCGCAACATCCACATTCGTGTGATCGCATAGCTCAGATTCCTCTTCGTCATCGCCATGGTGGTGGTCATGGCCGTGCATATAGTCGTAGTCCGGTTGCTGGCCCGAGTGATGATGATGTGAGTGCGAATGTTCATGCTGGTGATGTTGACGTTGATGGTCTTTGTGAGAGCTGCGATGTCCATCACTCAGCTTGCCTGCATGAGTCAACGCGTCATCGGGTTTGAGTCTCGATCCTGATGAGGCACTGTCGTTGGACTTGACCTTGACTAGAGCTGAGGAGGGTAGCGCTTGGCCAGAGGTGCTCGTACTTGGCTTGTGCAACCTCTTCTTGTTTGCCTTGTTAGAGCCGGAACTCCGAGTCATCTCGCCCCATGTGTGCTCTGCAGACGACGTGGACGAGAGAGCGTTCTTAGATGCTTGAGTGCGCTAGGCGATCGGGGGAGAATGTCTCTCGCTGAAAGCTGTACGATTGGAGCAGGTTCAGTTGCGACCTATGCGATGCTAAAGGTAAGGAGCGAGCGGACTGGTGGTGGACGGGAACGCCAAGGTTGGCGAGGCTAGAAACGAATCTCAGCGCCTCTTGCAGCGAGACGAGATGATGGAAATGGAATGCTTCGCACCTCGGCCGGCCATTCGTGACGAACGGCGGGTTGATGATGGATGGAGAGCATCCATAAATGCGCCCGCCGTGCCTGACCACACATCTCACACACACACACACACACACACACACACACACACACACACAGAAACGCGCCGCGGTCACTCGATGGCATCACCCAGCAAGCAGCACACTCACACTCAAACTCCTAACTCGTCACGGCTGCACCGCGTAGCTTTGCGCGTAGAGCTGCAGCAGCATGCATGCAGCACGCGCGCGCGCGCAGTCTGCCAAGGCAACCAAGAGGTCCTCGCGAGCTTGATCACTCACCATGCACTTCTGCAGGCTGCTTGCTGTACGGTAAGGTACCTGGCCCCACGGTATACGCCAGGCGCCTACAGCGAGCGCATCATGATTGAGGCTCGAGCGCTCGCGCGCTTGCTGATGATGCCCGCCCGCTAGCTTCTTTGTCTCTCTCCATTCTGATTCTGATTCACTAATTCGTCTTGATTTTAACCACAAGCGCGGCCGCATCTCATCAGCAGCACCACAGCAAGCAGCATTCAAAATGAGTTTGTGACGTGCGCATCGTCGTGGCTGCTATTCTTCTCAAACGTGGAGTATCAAATTGATCAGCGCTATATCGCTCGCTCGAGTAGGACAGAGCTAAGGCGCCCTGTAGCATGGGAAGAGCACAACCGTCAAGCGCTCGGCTGTTTGTGCACACTGGGTGTGACGGTCGTGTGAGTGCGGACTGGACTGCAGGGCCAAGTCTGAGGCCATCAAAGACAGTACGGTGAATGTGCACGCGATTGAATCGGAATGGTATCACGTAGGCTGGGTAGGTATCAGCGACGACGACCAACTCAACGCGACACGTAAGGCCTCGAGCATCATGCCGCGTTTGCTCTAAGCTCTATCGAGCCCAGCAGCCATGCATACCTCCCTCAATTCTGAGTCATGAGTCGCAACACAAATCGCGCCCCTCATTCACAACACATCAAATTGTTCGAGCGCGGCTACTTTGTGATTCAAGATTGTGATTGCTCCTGCTGCATGGATGCCATGATGCATGTGGCCTGCTGACGAAGCTTAAATCGGCGAGATGTGGCGCTGCAGCTGCTGCGTGTGCATGCTGCAGCCAGCCGCGCCGACGCGCGTCTGCCAGCGTCTGCTGATTCCCGTACGGATCAAGACGGCGCGGATGGAGAGGCAGCTTATTCATGCGAGATGCGACATGTTCCAGCAAAGCAGCAATCTGAATTACCACGAATCAAGTCACGACATGAAGGGAGCGTGCAGTGCGGTCGCCGGGTTGATGGTTGCAGCACAGCATGCCGTATATATATGAAGCGCGACGTCTCCCACCTTCACATCCACACACGCATCAACTCTGGATCTGCGACACACTCAGCTGCCAAGCAAGCGCGCGTGAAAGCAGAAGCAAGCTCGCAAAACAGTCCTGTAGCAACGCGACGTTCACCATCTAAGCCAAGTCTCCCCAACCCCGCACACCGCCCCCGAGACATCGAACCTTTTGGACTTCCAGCGTAGCGCTGCAGCGCTTAGCCACATAGGCTCCTACGTCTGTGTCAAAGTCTATCTTCTCCCCTCTTTGCTTGAGTCATACGGCAGCACAGAGCCCCGAGCGCAAGCCAGAAACCATCATGCCGTCAAGGGGAGGGACAGACATCTTGGCGTCCTTGAAGGGGTTCGACGCGTTCAGCAAGCCCAAGGATGTGTATCGCGTGAGGACATCGCAAGGTGCTCTGATCAGTCTAGTCGCAGCGCTGTTGATCGCCCTACTGATCGGATCGGAGTTCCGGAGTTATCGGAGCATTACGCTGCACGAGTCCTTGATTGTGGACAAGTCTCGAGGAGAGAAGATCAACATTGCGGTCAATATGACATTTCCTCGCGTTCCCTGCTACCTGCTCAGCATGGATGTCATGGACATTTCCGGCGAACATCAAAATGACATTCATCACGATGTGACGAGGACGAGATTGTCGCCAGATGGACACATCGTCGAAACTTCGAAGGGGCTCAAAGGCGAAGCGGCCAGGCTGGCCAGCTTGCATGGAAAGGACTTTTGCGGCAGCTGCTACGGCGGTACGCCCCCTGCCAGCGGTTGTTGCAACACGTGCGAAGAGGTGAAGGAGTCATATGCCCTCAAGGGCTGGAGCTTCACCAATCCGGATGGCATCGACCAGGTGCGTAGAGCGCTCATGCGCTTCACCCGAATCATCCCAGTCGACGCCAGCACCTGCTGGCCCGAGTACTGATGCTATGAGCTAGCATATGCTGATCCTGCGACGCCCCCTCTTGTTCTCCATCAGTGCGTATCCGAGGGCTGGTCACAAAAGATAAAGGAGCAGAACAAAGAAGGCTGCAATGTGGCAGGAGTCATTCACGTCAATAAGGTGGTGGGCAACTTCCACTTGAGTCCTGGAAAGGCTTTCCAAAGAAACTCGATGGCCATCTACGACCTAGTGCCCTACCTCGCTGGCAACAAGGAAGCGAATCACCATGTAAGCTGTCCCCAGATTCCCCAAGTGTAAGGACCTCTGAGCTCATGTTGCGCCTTGTTCTCCGCTTTTCACGAATCGTAGGACTTCGGTCACATTATCCACGAGCTCTCCTTCGGTACGCAAGAGGAATTCATTGCTACTCAGACTTGGAACAATGTCAACCCTTTGGCGAAACGGCCAAAGACGGCAAAGCAGAGGTTGGGCATCGTGGATCCCTTGCAGGGAGTCAGAGCTCACACTGAGAAGAGTCAATTCATGTTTCAAGTGAGTATCACGCCAAGATTGGCCGACTCCATCACAATCAGTGCGCGCAAGAACACGACGAATTGATCATAGGGACATCGCCTCTTTTCAGTACTTTCTCAAGGTCGTTCCCACGGAGTATCATTTGCTGTCTGGCGAGAGGCTCAAGTCACACCAATACAGCGTCACCACTTACGAGCGGGATCTGTCTCCGGGCGCTCAGGCAGCAGCGGCTGCAGGTGTACCAGGCGCCAGCCACACCACGCCTCATCACGTCACTCATGGTTTCGCAGGCGTTCCAGGAGTCTACATCAACTTTGATCCTTCGGCCCTGCGGATCATCCACACAGAGACTAGACCTAGCTTGGCTCACTTCTTGACCTCCACGTGCGCCATCGTCGGAGGAATCCTCACGCTTGCTGGGTTGGTCGATATGATCCTGTACAACGCCAGGCTTCGCATAAATGAGGGAGTCGAAAGCGGATCGGGCGGGTTGCCTAGGAGTAGCAGTGGAGGGAAGATGTTTTGAGAGGGGCAAGGTCAGCTGTCGAGGTCTCGACTGCGCAGAGGATAGGGCAGGCGCGGGTCGTCGAGCTAGCGTCGCCGCACGCCCAAGACGCAGCTTCAAAAAGAAAGGCATCACAGTCCACAAAAGCACGAGCGCGCGCAACGTCACACACACAAGAATCGGACACTCAATAATGCTTTTTTATAACGCATCGCACGTTTCTGCCGTTGCTCGAGCTTGATCCACAACTCGCGCAGTGACGCCATCCCATTACAAAATGAGCACTGCCAGAGTCGCGTTGCAAGCGTAGCGATCAGTTTGAGAGTGAGTAGTAGGGATGAAAAGAGTACAATGAGGCAGGCTGCACACACAGCCATTGACTACGGGTCGAAGCGATGAGATCGTCAAGAGTCGGTCCTAATTGTGGGCGTCGTGACTGAGTGAAGCTGCTGCTGCGGGGCATTCTTGCGGTTTCGCCCCACTGAGGACGGCGCGGCCGGCAGATGAAGGGGGACGAAGGACCACAAATGGGTCGCGGACCTTCCGAAGTCTGGCTGCGTCCTTGCTACGCGACCCAAATCGTCTTCTAATCTCCATATTCGGTGTCATCGGGCCAGAGTATCCAAGAAGGTGTCCCACACGTGATCCGTGCCGGCGACCGGCATTCCCAGAGGCATCATGTTCCAAATTCCGCTGCTGAGGTTCACTCCAGTATTGACCATGTCGGAAGACAGCTGCGAAGCTCCGGCAATGTTGTCCATGCTTTCCATCGCGGAGCCAATCAGAGGTTGGTCACCATGATGGCCTGCTTCAACGTTCGCATCGACGGCATCAGGACCAGCAAACATGTTCGCCGAATCCTCGTCTTTGTATGCTGAATGCTGATTGTTCATTTGGCCGTTCTGCGTCATCGAGACTGGTCCGCCATGAGAGGTCCAGGGACGAATGGCTGACGAAACGTCCCCATCACCAGAAGTGTCCTCCTCCTTTGGAGACCCGCCATCCTGTGTGTTTCGCTGTGCCTGCCGGGACATGTAAGCCCCGAGCGTCATCGGCACTACGCCAGCGCCATGACCCGGATGCGCGGCAACTGCTCCTGCGGTCTTGTCTACCACCGCTTGCAGCTGCTCGTTCAACCCTGGGTCCTCCACAGCTTTGTCGAGGGCGGACGAACGGCGAATAGATTTGAGGACAGACGCCAGGTGTCGCGCAGACTCCCAAACCTGCGACAAGCGTTCGAGCATCGCCATACAAGCTTCGTACTTTTCCGAGGCTACATCAAGTCCATCCTGTGATGACCGATCTTTGACAGCCTTGCGACCAAATCCAGCCAAAGGCGCAAAGACAGTAGCAGCAGAGAAAAGCAAGTACCTGTGTCCCAGTAAGAGTAGTAGTGAGCAGGGGCAAATCATGTGTGCCTCGATCCAAAGTTGTACTCACGGCCAACTGCTGGGCACCTTTCTGGAGCGGAACCATCTCTCGTAGCACGCAAAGAGCTCGAGCAATTCCGTCGCGGCAACCAAGCATACTTGCTTGGCGCACGCGCGTGTCGCCTGCCTACCGCACCAGGTCCCAGTTCCAGCAGGATCCCCGCCTTTGACGTCGCTTGAGATGCCGCTGTCCGACATGATCCATGGTCGGTGCAAGAGCAGTACCGTGGTGCAAAACCATCCACGCACGGTGAGCAGATGAGGAGTGACTACGGGCGGGGGGTTGAAGCCCGGCACCTGAGTTGCATCCATACCCCCTATCGCTCTGGCCGTTGGACTTGCCCAGAGAAGGTGTCGAGGGAGATTGTGGGTCCATGAGACCAGCACCTGCTTGTTGCGCTTGAGCGCAGCGCTAGCATCCGCTCCTGATGAGGCTTCCGAAGCATTGCTGCTGCAAGCGGGCGCACAGCGATCACTGCGAGCGCGCAAGGAGTACACCTCTTGCATAACCGTCTCGAGCGCCTGGAGTGTCTCGACCCATGCGACAAAGTTGCTGAGTGAGTGTGTGCGAACACCCTGTAAGCCGTTCCGAGCGAAGGTTTCCGCATATTTAGCGCTCTCACTGGATAGCCATACGTCGGTCTCATCGCGCTCCGACGCGCTTGGGAGAGGCTGGCTACTATCGGCAGCTCGAAGCATGACAGGCTTCTCCAACACTGCGCAGAGCATCTTGTCGAGAGCGTAGCAGGCCCAAAATGTCCGTCTCCTCTCTTGAGGCACCACGGCCTTTAGCCAAGAAGACGGTCGCGATTCGCTGAGTGCCTCCGTGCTGGCGAGTAGAGGGCGGTCGTCCTCGAGGTGAAGTCTGAGATCCAAAGCGACTCTGCAAGCAAGACCACCAAGATTCCAAGCGGACGACATTCTGCCATGGCCAAGCTCGCATAGGGTGATGAGAATGAGCGCCTGACACGTGGCAATCCTTGGACGTGATCCAAGCTCATTCGCGAGAATGCTGGCCTTCGCATCGGAGATCAAAGTTTCGCTGAGTTCAGTGAAGCCGACGGGCGGCTTGCCTGACCGTGGGGGCCCTGATTCGACATCTGCGGTCGCAGCTGCCCCTCCAATGACTGCCTTCCACAAGTTCGGCTCGCGCTTGCGCAATTCCTTGAGAGATGTGATTGTGGGTGCGTAGAACATTGGCCATAGAGAGTGATGAAAGGCGAGAAAGTACCTGAGAGGACGGATGATGTTTGGTCAGCCACTCATCTCATTGGAAGGTTGCAACTTTGGCGCTCACTGGCACAGACTGTTTTCAACCCGATCATCTAGCGTCGCAAGGTAGTGATCACCGCTCAATTTTGCTGCATCACTAGCGAATGGTAGAGCGCCGGATACAGCTTGCTCGTTGCTGTATTGTGACGTGGCTGGAGTGGGACCAGTTTGGGGATTTGAAACGTGCCATCCATTTGTTGGTGCACCTTGACCTTGGGTGGCGCCCGGGAGGAACGCCGGCTGATGCGAGCCAGCACTAGGCGTTCTCGCATGACTGAAGCCATAAGACGACTGTCGAGAAGCGAACGGTCGGAGATCTGGGAAGATGCTACCGTCGCCTCGAGTGACAGCACTTGCCGCAGTAGGATCTGCGATCAGACGCGGTGCGCTGGACGTGATTGGCGAAGATGCACGCTGCGCTGAGGTCGTTTGCCAGGCCTCTAGCCCTGATCGACTCAAGCCCATGTGCTCGGCAGCCTCGGTGCGCCGCTGTGGGTTGATATCGGGTTGAGCGAAGGGCGGAGAGCCATGCTTGGCGCCTATGGCTGGCCACTGCTCGGGAAAGCCTGGCTGTAGTTGTCCAAAGCCTCCGGAGCGTTGATTGTTAGACTCGGCGGCTTGCGCTGCTGCCACTCCGAGTGCGAGTAGCCCATGACCAGCATCTGCTTCGCTTGCTGCAAGGACTGATGCGTATGCTGGGCCCGCACTGTGGGTGCTGTGCGCTGTGCTGTACGTCGTTGAGCTGGAAGGACTTGTTTGACCATGAAGGTCGCGCAACCCTCGCGCCGCCTTGTAGGCCTCGTCATCAACTTGATCCCCCTCTGATCCTGCCAACTTGGTTCCTCTTTTGCGTGTAGTCTCCGATGACCCTCTCGTTTTCCTCGGAGGCGCACTAGGCTCGTCCTGCTGAGTGACGCCTTCCAGGAAACTTCGCTTCTTGATGCCGCCCCGCGCCGGACATCCCTTAGGCGGCCCTCTCTTCTTTGCAGCCCTGTACTCGCAATCATCCGATTTCTCTGCTGTGATGCACTTTGCACAAGGTTGCTGACCATCGCACTTTACTTTCAGATTGCTGCACCTGGTGCAGGCAGTGGTCATTTTTGGTGGCGAGGTAGGCGAAGCGGCGGCGAGCGGAGTGGCAGCACTCCGTTTGGACCCACTCGATGAGTCGTCCCACATCGCAGTTGCGTGCGAGCGCTCGTCTGTGTGGGCGACGGGGGCATGAGAAGCTCGCGGCATGGAGTATGTCATTCCAGCGCTCGATGGACCCGGAGCATACATGTCTCGAGGTGGGTAAGACTCGTGATGCTGCATCGCGTAGATGCTTGCGGTGGTGTGGATGATGATGTAGAGGATGGCGCAAGAGCTACGTCGGGACGAACGGCCCTCGCGATCACCGAAATGCACCAGCTCGATTGCGCAGTCAGCGCCACCCGTCCGTCGCCTTCGGTCGGTCGAATCTGATGCAGTCAAGTGACCAAGCCGGCGAGCGCCGATGCTGGCGCCAAGGTCACCTGAGGAGCGCAATGGCAAAGATGAAGAGTTGTAGAGAAGCTGCCAGACTGTACGAGTTGAACAATCGATGCGGCTTGTGGAGGTGATGATGATGGCTTTCGGTGTTTGTATATTGTTGCAAAGGCAATGGGTACGAGGCTGGCGAGGGAAACCGAAAATTCAAGACTGCGAGAGCAGGAGCTGCTTGCTTCGAACGGTGCTGCCGAGTTTGGACATGCGCCCATACGCCTGGTCATTTTGTGAATTCGCCGCCCCGCCTTCCTTATTTAACCCATATGACCGCGCTCGTGACTGCCGCGCTGACGCTGCTCGTCATCCGTATAAGGATGCGACCTACAGCAGTAGCACATGCAGATGGCGTCCGGCTTCTCACTTGCTTTTGTGACCTGCTGCTGCTGCTGAGTCGCGCCTACAAGCTGCACTATACCGTAGCTATATGCCGTGTAGCTCAACCGCTTCGCTGCGTCATGCTCGCGGAAGCCAT